CACCGACAATCATATCATTCTCGTCACATGATTTGGCCTTCTGCAATTTTCCGATTACCACTTTGAGCAAGGGGAGGCTAAGGGGCACCTCCTGCTGCTGCTCCTCAGGGGTCCACTGCCTGTGAATCCAGTCGGGCAGCGCGCAGTCGCTACTGGGGTCCTTGAACAGCTGCTCGTAGAAGGCGTGGGCCTCCGCGCGTCGAGCAGCTCCCGTGGTGGCCCTACCGCCGTCCATGGTCTCCAGGCTGTACACGGGCTGTCCTGACTTGAAGGGCCGATCTGCTTTCCCCCGAGCACAGAGTCGATCCATATGCTCGGTCATGCAGCGGTCTCTCATCTCCCTCTTGGCCTTGCGGACCGTGGGTCCCAGCATGTGCCTGACTCGCGGGTCCTCCTCGCGTGCTCGTAGACGTTCCAAGGACTGGAGATGCAGCAGCTGCGGGTCGCCTGGGGGCGGCCTCCACCGGCCACGCCGCGGTACGTGCCCAGCAGCAGCTGCCGCGCCCGAGATAGCAGCCGCCAGGACGCTCATCGGAGCAATGCCCTCGCGGAGCTGTCCACGCAAGCAAGCCTCGGTCCCGACTCGGGAGGCTGCAGCAGGCGGCTGGAGGAAGGCCTGGAACGAGGCCCCCGCATCTTCGCGGCGGATGCTCTCGAGGCGCCGCTTCCGTGCCAAGCGCTGGGCGGAGTAGTGCTGCTCGCAGATCGCCAGGAAGGTCTGCTGGTCCCAGTCGGCGGTGGGGTACGGGCGTCGCCAGTGAAGCCCTTGCCGTCTGAAGTCGCATCCCGTCTTGGCCAGTCGGTCTGCTTGCTCATTTCCACAGTTCCCGCTGTGGCCCTTGACCCAGCGGATGATCATGTCAAAGAAACGCTCAGCCTGGCCCCACAGGTGGACTGCCAGGGTGGCGAGCTCGAAGTTCTCCTTGGGCTGAAAGACACCCTGCAGCAAAGCGCGGACGTAGGTGGAGTCCGTGGTGACCACGATGCGGGTGCGGTCATGCACTCGTGGCTCCCGCTGTAGTCGTTGCCCCAGCAGCCACAGGAGGGCCTCCACGACGGCCGAGAGCTCGCCCGTGTTGGACGAGAGCCCCGTCGCTCCGATGAAGCGCGGGTCGAGCGGGGCTGTCGTCACTTGGCCACAGGCTGTCAGCAGCGCCTCGTCCTGGTCATTGGGCTCCGCCGTGTGGAACAGCGCGAAGCCCCAGCCTGCCGCCGTGCAGCGGTGACGCGGTGCCAGGCGCCCCCCTCGCTTCGCTGAGCCGTCCGTGAAGATGCCCATCGCGTTCGAGAGGTCCCCGTCCGTGTACTGCATCGGCATCGGCGGCGTGTAGCTGATCTCCAGGGTCGTGCAGATGCTGGCATTGAAAGCCTCGGGGTCCTCCACCTGCCAGGCGACTGGCTTGCGCGGGGGTCTCTCCACCGTCTCTTGCGGCGTGTAGTCCACGTGGCCTTCGATGGTCGCGATCGTGGCGCCTGCGTGGCACCGAAGCAGCAACGGCAGGTGGTCGCTCTCCGTGGCGTCGCTGAAGCGAGCCTGGCACTCGCACTTGCGGAGCCACGAGCGGCACACCAGCATGAAATCGATCTGTCTCGGCTCGCGTCGGTCATCGTAGAAGCATGTGTTCTGGCCCCACTTCCCTTTGGTAAACGTGTTCGTCGCGACGAGGTCGAACTCCGTCATCAGATCGCGCAACATTTCCCCTCGCCAGGATGAGGAGGTGGCTGAGAAAGGGCCGATTGTGTCTCCATCAGAAACTCCCAGGCCGTCTTGGGCATCGATGCTCACTATAGCATTGCAATCACTGGACATGGTAATAAGACATTCCCTGAGCTGCTCAATCGTCTCTGCGTACTCTTGGCGAACGATATGTGAAAACTGGTGGCTCGTGATGAGCCGAACCTTGCCCCAGACAGGAAGCTGTAAGTCCAGGGCCATGGTGCGGTTGTGGTACTGGGGGGTGCCACAGACGGATGGTTGCAGAGCATCTGCAATCGCTATCGCGCATCTCTGCCAGGCCCCCGATGGAGGCGACACGTGCACAACATAGCCGTCGTATGACTGTTCAGCACCACCAGCAACGCACCACTCTTGGAAAAGGATAATCTGCGGATTGAATTCATGTGCAAGTTCATCCAGTACGTGGGCCCGCCGTCTAGCAAGGACGCCTCTCGCATTCCACCCGAGAACTGTGAGGTCCCCGACATCCTTAGCAAAGCGGCGCCCACGTACGCGAAATCACTGTGCACGAGGAGGATTGTTGATGTCTCCCAGCTTCTCGTCCAGCTTGAAGTCCTTCAGCTCCTGGTTCATCAGGGCCAGGGCGTCGGGGCTCTTGTCCAGCTCGAGCAGGTCCGACTGACGGGACCGAGTGAGGATGCGCACTGGCCTCTCCGTGCTGTTCTTCCGATACACGACCTGCCCCCTGTCCCAGTCGCCGTCGAAGGTCCTCATCTTCGTCTCGTCCGTGCACAGGTTGCTGCTCACTCCGAACTCCCTGAGAATGCGCACGGCGTAGCTCACCCTGCGGGACAGCTCCACCTCGTGCGGCTCCTGGTCCACCTTGTGCCACAGACGATCGTTCCGCGCGCCTGGGCACGGGATCTTCTGGCCTTTCCACCTCTTCATGAACTCCCACATCTGACGATTGCTAGCGAAGACCACCTTCGCTTGGTCACAGAACCTCCCCACCCCGTAGACGTCCGTGATGCCCTGGGCTGCGAGGCTGGTGGTCTTGGCCAGCTCCTCGCGCAAGTGCTTCTCAACCTCGTCCTTATCCCACGTCCCTGGGAACCCCGCCACGAAGACGACGTGCTTTGTGTTTTTCCCGAAGCCGCGCGGCGGTGCACCTGGACCCACGCTCTGGCCTGGTCCCGAGACCGAGCCAGCAGTCCCAGCCCGCTGCTGCAGCAGGTACGCGCCCCACGGGTCCTGGCCGTGGCCCAGGCCAGGGCGCGAAGCGCCCGCCGAACTCGCCGCCGTTGATGCCCTGCCTGCATTCTCGACTGCCTCGAGCCTGGCATCCTGTGCCCGCAGCTGCGCCTTGAGCCCCGCAATCTCCCTCGTGCTGGTCTCCACGGTGCGGCGCAGGCCCGCCACGGACTCCTCGACTGCCGAAACTCGACCTCCGACGGAACCGATGATGTAATCAGCCAAGCTCTTCATCTCGGGGTTCTGCGGCGGGACCAGCGGCTGGTGGCGGCCAGGCCTCGCGGCCTCGTCGTCGGTGCTGCCTCTCTTCTCCACACGGCGCTGCTGCCTTCTCTCCCAGGCCTCATCCCTGCCCTCGGCTGCGACGGCAGCGGGCGCGAGCGCCGCCATGGCAGCGCTCAGGGAGAGAGAAGGTGTGCGGTGGCAAAATGCGCACGCGCGTGCGGATCTCTAGGAATCCCTGGGTGCCGCCTTGAGCCAAAATGGCAAAATGGCTTAGCAGCGGTGGACGCGGCGACTTTGTGGTGCGCGAGTCTCCCTCCCCTCTCCTCTGGGGGTCGAACACTTGTGCAAGTCCACCTCCGTCCTCCTCCCTCGCCCTCCCTCCTCTGATTGTATTCTCCCTTCGTGGACCTGTACCATCATCCTTCTCCGAGCCTCACTCCCTCCCTCATCTTGCCATGAATGACAAGGTTCCTGTCGAAAACGGGTCCCTCGGGTCCGGGGCATTCCCCAAGACCAAATCCTCATCCTGAATCGTTCCGTGAACAGCCACAGGGCCCAGCAAGGGCCCCGTTGAAGCCCATCACGGTGAAAAACCTCGGGGCCATTTCTCTCAGGACACCCTTTTCTGCATGCCGTCTCTGAAATCATTCCCCTCCCCTGGCCCTCTCCGGGGGCGCACTCTGGACAACATTCTGGGATTCTGGGGGGATCCAACCGTGGCGACGGGAAACAAAACAGAAAAAACGGAAATCGTCCTAACGTTCATCCCCGATTCTCAACATCGATCTCTTAACGTATCTACGGGTGTGGTTTGGACGAACTTTCGATTCGTGTCTTGCCGAAGCGACGAGAAGCCTCCAGGATGCCTTAAAAGTCGAAGACGTCCAAACTTGGAATCTCAGATTTAGGAAAACAGAGAACTGTATAAAGAGGCACTTTCAAAGGCCTGCGCAGATTTCTGGAGTCGGCGCCGAACACCCCGTCCCTGGCGCGCGAAGCGAGCCAGAAGCGGCGCCGAACATGCCGCCAGGGGACTCAACGCCGACTCCAGAACTCCGCTTCGTTCATGCCGCTCTCCTTTTTCGAGGATCCTAGATCTTCGAACCTCGATGGCACTCACTTGCCATCTCTCGGACGTCCATTCCCCGTGCATTCGATGGTTTCGTGCGTGCTTTGTGGGCCAGATGATCTAGGAGGCTCCTCGAGGGTCCTCGCCGAGAAAAGACGCACCCGTCCCAGCGATGCCAAGCTCATCCCTCCTCCATCTGCAGTTGCCGGCTGGGTCGAGCAGCGCCCCAGGGGTCGGCGGCCCCCCGCAGGACGCCTCGAGCACCTTCGCGGGCGTCGCCTTGGCGGGAGTCCGGGCCGGAGATGGGGATGCCCACGCGGCCGGCTTCGGCGGCACGTTCTCCTGGGCGGGGGGGGTAGACAACATGCCTGAGTATGGAGGGAGGTTTTCGGAGGACGCCGAGGAGAGGGTGAGTCAGTGGAGGAGGTGAAGGAAAACGAGAAGGATGCTGTGCCATGGGAGAACGAGGAAGTTGAGAAGGACCAGGACGCGGACAAGGACACGGCGGTGCCGACTACGACGGTGCCGAGGACGATAACAAGTACGACAATGAGAAAGAGAAAGCAAAAGAAAGCGATAAGACGGGGCACGAGGGGGACTCGTGCTCCCTCAACCATATCCTCACGATCCTGCTCACACTGTCTTATCCTCATCCTTCTTCTCCGCCGTACCTGTCAGAACTGCTCCCCTCTGAGACTCGGACACAGACTGAGACACTCTTATACCAGGCCATGAATCTCGAAGGCCCGAACACATGAACAAAGCCATATGTATTTAGATCCAACGAATCAGCTCTGTAATTTCCACTGCGCTTCTTAGCACGGAGAGATGTTGCAGTCGCAAGCTTGCGACCCTGCCGAGAATATGCAGATGCACTGGCTGTAAGATGCTGCACTCGATCCAGAGCCAATCCCCTTTCTGTAAGACCTCGACACGCAACGCCATGAATCCATCCATGGGGTCAGAGGATCGCACCGCGTCGGCGAGTGATCGGTGATGCGTCTGCGACGTCGGGGTAAAGAACATCGGGATCCAGATCGGGCCGCACCGCCAATGCGGCGAAACGACTCTCGGATCCGATCTACCCCGGACCTCCTCCCTCGGGCGGCCTGAAAACTCCTCGACCTGGATCTCGGCGTGTCGATCCGAGATCGACCCGACCGATCCAGGAGCCCAGAGCCTCGACACCATCGGACACAACGTCGGCCGAGAAAGCCGCAGGCCGAGCAGTCCCCGACCGCCAGTCGCGTCTGTCGCGCCTGTCGCGGGCCCGATCACGAAGTCTACGCACGGCCGTTGGTTGGACTCGGATTCGGCGCTGGGTTCGAAACTGGATCAAACTGGAGAGCGGTTAAACTCATCTAGCACCTTGGCGACGCCTTCGGCGAGGACAGGGTGAGGTTAACCGTGCAGGGACAACATGGAGGAGCAGGAGGAGGAGGAGGAGGAGGAGGAGCTCTCAGCAGAGGGTGCCCCGGATGCAGCGGCCAGCGCTGTACACGAGCTGCTGACTTGGGCTGCAGCTCGCTGGAAATTGCTGCGTGAAAGGCGCTGCTACTCTGGGCTGCAATGCCACGCAACTAAATACCCGAGCCAATTTATCCCGCACAGCACTTTCTTGAGAGGCGGGTCGAGAGGAGGAGAAGGAGGAGGAGGAGGAGGAGGAGGAGGAGGAGGGCGTTGCTCGATGTGGGGGCGATAGTTGGGGGTCGAGGAAACGTGCACCGTTCGTGCCCCTTTGGGGTCGCAGAGGGCCCCTTCAGGGTTCCTCGGTGCAGGAAAGGTGCACTTTTATCCACCCCCATTAGTCGCCCCGCCCGAGAGGAGATGCAGGATCACTCTCCGGGCCCCATGGGCGAGGGAGCAGCCCTCAGCTTGCCGCGCTCCACCGCCAGCCGCTGCTCTGGCGCCGAGCGCAGGCTGGCCCGCGCCTCGGCGCCGCCCAGAGCTGCCGTCATCGCCTGGGATCCCAGGGGTGGCGACGCAAACCGAGGCGGCGGCGCGGTCACTTGCGAGGCCTGCGGGGCAAGCGGCAGAGAGGTCGGCGTCTCCACCGTCGGGGCAGTCACTGGGGCGGTCACCCCCTGGGCGGTCACTGTGCTCGGGGCCGATGCACCAGACGGCGATGGCGGGGAGGGCACCAGCACATATTCCGCAGGGGGGCGCTCGCCCCGCAGCACGACAGGCACCTCCTGGACGGACTCACGGACGCTCAGGTGGTATCTCGGCAGATCCTTCGGCATAGCCACCACACGTGGCGCTGGACTATGCGTAGTGGCCTCCACGTTGATAACATGTGGTACCTCCAAGGGTTCCTCCTGCAGGATCGGCTCGGGCACATGCACCAGCTTCTCCACGTACTCCACCACTCGCTTGGGGACGTGGCGATCGACCCACTCTACGCAGGGTTTGGGCACCTGCTTCACGATCTCCCACTCGATCACCTGAGGCACCTCGACCAGTCGCTCCTCGTACAAAATATGTGGCACTTCGACGACCCGCTCAACGTACTGGACAACGTGCTTTGGCACCTGACGATCAACGTACCTCACCTCCTTACGCGGCACGTGCCGCACAATCTCGTGCACCTGGGGCAAGGAGTGCTCGACTACGCACTCCTCGAACCTCACCTGCGGCACGTCGACGACCCGCTCGACTGGCACCACCACCGGCTTCCTCACCACCTTCTGCACAACCTGCACCTCCGGCACCGCCACCTCCCTCACCAGCTCCACGGCGGCGGTCGCTGCGATGGCAGCGGTCACGGGCCGCGGCTCTACCGCCGTGCTCGCCGCGACGGCGGCGGCCACGGAGCGCGGCCCCGGGAGGCCCGGGGCCCGGGCGGGGGCCACCTCGACGACGCGCTCGACCAGCTCGACGGCGGGCAGCCTGGCGAGCTCCTCGCGCGCGGGCCGAGGGGGCGTCGGCGAGGGCCGCCGCGGCCGCAGCGGGGGTCCAGCCACCGTGCCCACGTACCGGAGCCCCTGCGCGGCAGGCGGCGGCGAGTGGGGGCCGCTCGTCGTGACCGCCGAGGCCTCGAGCGTCGTCGCGCCAGACTCGAGGGTGCCGAAGGCGGCGATCCGCGGCCAGCTCTGCGGCGAGCTGGGGGCGCTGAGCTCCGCGGGGAGCAGCGAGGGGGCGGGGCTCAGCGGCGCCGAGAGCTGCGGCGCCCCGGCGGCCATCTGGCCCCGCCCCGCCCGCGGGGGCCCCGCGCGCCCGGGCCCTCCTCGATACAGAGGTGCGCCGCGGGCTGCGAGCCGTGCCCAGGGGCGACACGACCACGGAGGAGCAGGAGGCGGGCCACGGCAAAGACGAGGGCCCGGAACAGGATGAGGAGGGGTCTTGCTCGGATCTGTGTGAACGCAGGTTCGCAGCAAGCCCCAACTCCCTGAAAATTCAGGCCGCGGAAAGCCATAAGTACCTTCAACTCATGATATTATCCCTGGGCCCTACGATATAGTAACATGCTCCCTCTCCATGCGTCAACGCCTCGATAGCTCCCCCAAGCGGGTGGTCCAACACAGCGGTTTGTGTTCGATGTCGGAAAATGTGCAGCTGGAGTGCGACGCGAAGCACATCGCGGCCTGGATGGCGAAATGTCGTCATAGCCTGATGCGCCGCACCTAATTCCCTGAGCCCAGAAGTCAAAGATCGCCCACTGGACCTGCCTCGACATGCGGATTCAGCAGGGCGGAATGGGAAAACCTTCCCGAGAACCTCAAACACGCAAAAGACGCTCAGAGTTGGCCACGCTGGGTACCCTATGCTCGCCTGGGCCCATCCCTAGGAAGCAAGCCCCAGGCATTAGACTCGGGATGCGTTCTGGCCAAAGCTTCGTGGCCGAAATCAGCCGCCTCGGAATTCTGGCCTGCGGACTCACAGATATGTTAACACCGAAAAAACATGCAATCACGACACGGACAGAGTGCGGACAACGTTTCAAACTGGGGGCCTCGCTTGATATTTGCTCCAGACGTACCGGCTGTGTATTCAAACTTGCGCAACACCTGCACGGTTCGAAGACGGTTTCTTGACAAACAAGGGCTCTCGCTGAACACTTCCTTGAGCTACACTCCGTAGCCCGTAGCCAAAAGGTTGGCCTTCAACGGGCTGCCACAGTGGTGCAAGCTCCAGGATCGAGTACCGAGATGTGTGGGCGTGTGGGGGCGCCAGTGGGCTCTGGGGAGTTCCTGGGGCAGGAAGGGCTGCTCTACTTTCGCTAGGGGTTGGGAGGGGGCCAGACCATTGGCAGCTGTACATGGACTAGAGACTAGCGGGAGAGAAACGACGACAAGGATAAAGAAAGCCTCCAAACTTGGAAAAGCACACCAAGCAAACTTATCATCGATCCTCCTTCGGTCATGGCCCTCCTCCTCCTCCTCCTCCTCCTCCTCCTCCTTCTCATCACCCGACTCCTCCCCTCGTCACTCTCCTCCTTCTCCTCATTTCACTCGCTCGGCCTTCCCCTCTTCATCCTCGTCCTCGCTCCTGCTCGCTCTCCTTTTGCTCCTCCGTCGTGGCTATCGCTTCGTCTACCTCGTTGAGGTGGACCTTGGGGGCGACTACGGCCGACACGGGGCTGGGGCCTGGGGGAGGTCCCCGCGAGCCCAGCAGGAGTGCTGCCGTGTCGTCGCACACACTGCTAGCGGAGGCGAACGGCCTTTGTCCCCCGCTGGCATTGCGGGCGCCTGAACAGCTGGGCCCACCACCCGCGGCGATTGAGATCCCGACCGCTTCAGCTTGGCCCATCCCTCCTGCTTCCCCTCTCGTCCTACCCTCCGTCTCCTCATCCGCCTCCTCCTCCTTCGCCATTCATTTTCCTTACAGGTAACCCCTCTGCATCTGAGCACCACATGTGTCGCAAGGGCGAGGCGGGCGTTTCGCCGACGGCTCCACCACCCCGCTCATGACGCACAAGCTTGAAAACTCCGAGAGTTACGCGGATGAAGGAGGGTTGTGAGTAGGTTGCGTTCACCTGAACGCCGCACACTTTCCTCTTTAAGGCGTCCAATCGTTTCGCAGCTGGAGGCGGAGCTCATTTTCAAAATGCGACTGTCGCCTTAGCGCCGCAAACATTCGTCTTACATGTTTCGTACACGAATGTGGAGATCGCCCCATCGCCAAAACACAAACTCGTTGTAAACAGATCCACCGTTTACACGGATGGAGGTGGCGAGATGTTACCCTTTCATCGGCGCTCGGAACATCGTCCTCGACACCTGTCAGCCATCATAGAGATTGAATGCGGTTCATGTTCAGAATAAGTCTCTCGCCATAGCGCCGCGCACATGTACCCAGGCATGTTCTAACAGTTGCTCGGATGGAAGTGGCTTTCAAAAGGTGGATCTCGCCTCTACGGCGCGCACTATCGTCTTCAAACTCCAACCATTTACAAGGGAGGCGGGCGGCTCCTTTTCAATATCGTACTTTGGTTCGAACTGTCCTTCAACCCTCCGATTCGAATATTCACACAACAACGATGCACTATAATTACCTGAATGGCGGGCTTCCCTTGGTAAAGGCAGAGCTCCCGCTTGAGAGCCCAGTAGGCGTAATGGCCAGGCGGATCAAGTCGTAGCTCCTTTTCCAAACGCGCCTCCCGGATGGACTGCGACAAGACGGGGCGCTCGCACTTTAGGGGGGGAACATGTTTTCGGGGGAAGGGACTTGGGACTGGTGGGCGTATTGCGGCATCGATGGTGCCTTTTGGGTCTACGATGATTATTCTGCTTCTGCTCCAAATTCCTCCTTTCATCGCTGTTCCCTCCCTCCCCCCACCGTCCCAACATGAATCAAACCTATATGTCCCAACACCAGACGGTTCCGCCAGCCCGGCGGAATGCTTCGCTTCAAAATTCCTTGCGAATAGCGAGGGCTAAGGAAGCAAGGCCGGTGGTATCGAAAATGATACCCTCACCTTCTGGCCGCGCACATTCGTCTTGGAATTTTCCAACAACTTCAAGGATGGAGGGCTGGAGGTTTCCAGAATACGGCATTGGCCTAGCCCACACGCACATTCGGTTAAACAAGTTTCGACAATTACACGGGTTGAGGCCGAATCGTTATCACATTGCGGCTTTCGCTTGAGACCTCCACAGCTATAGACCGAGCGAACAAACTGTGCAACACTCGCACGGATGGAAGGCGACTCTATTTCTAAATGGTGCTCTCGCTTGATGGCTCTGGCAATGCTACGACTGGAACTGCGAAACCGCGAAACACTTGCAAGGATAGAGGACGGATCTTTTCAAAACGCGGCTATCGCTTTACCTTTCCTTGAATTTCATCATCAAGATTTTTGGCTGGAAGGATAGGGGGCGAATCCTCTACAAGATGTGATCTCGCTTGGGTGGCATGCCAAGTGGACAGTCGCCGTCCAAGGGCGCGCCCCACGCAATGGGAAAATTACCCGCCGGTGCGTATGAGCAGGCGGCTGGGGGGGTACTGCAGCATTGCTAGGGCATCCTAGGTTTGCTCTGGTCACCTTCTTCCTCCTCCTCCTCCTCCTCCTCCTCTCACAACTCCTCCCTCCTCCCCAATCGTCTTCCTTGTCTGTCCTCGTCCTCCTTCTCCCTTTTTTCTTGGGCGTGCTATGGGGCGCGCTCGCACGCGGCGTCGCTCCTCCTCCCGCCTCATCCCCTGCCCCTCATCTTCCTCCTCCCTCTCCTCCTCCTCCTCCTCCTCCTCCTCTGCCTCCTCCTCCTCCTCCCTCCTCCTCCTCCTCCTCCCTCCTCCTCCTCCTCCTCTCCTCCTCCTCCTCCTCCGCCTCCTCCGCCTCCTCCGCCTCTTCCTCCTCCTCCTCCTCCTCCTCCTCCTCCTCCTCCTCCTCCTCATCATCATCATTCATCATCTCATCATCATCATCATCATCATCATCATCATCATCATCATCATCCATCATCATCCACCCCTCCTTTTCCTCGTCCTTCCTCCCCCCCCCGCCCCCCCCTGCCTTCCTCCCTCCCCCTCCCCCTTCCTCCTCCACCTGCTGCTGCCCGCGGCGCTCGAGACGCGAACTCGTTGCATCCGTTCATGGATCGGCGAAGCGAGCGAAAGAGAAAAGAAAGCGAACCCCCCGTCCCCCCCGCCCAAAAGTCGGTGCCTGACAGGGCGGGTCGCGCCTGCTGGTCGCAGTCGGTGGCCGCTGCGGGCTGCGTGCCGTCGCCCCTGGCGTGATTCTTCGGCGCTGCCGGGCCTCGGAAATTTCAATGAAAGCGCGCACCTCTGGAACATCCCTGATTGCGGCGCTTGGGGCGAACGGTCTAGCTGGGGCCGCATCCAGGAGGCTCGGCCGAACAGTGCGCGCGCGGATGCAAATTTGACATCGACTCTGACCTCCTCATCCCAGGCATGCTTAGGGATCTCTGGAAGACCCAATATCATACCAAGTGCACGCAAACGCCTAGAAGCTCTGATTCCCCCACGGCCCCCAATAGCATAATCAGACCTCCAAGACTCAACATATGAAGTGCCACATGCTGTTATAATTATACCAGGCGGTACACGGCTGAATTTGCCAGCGGCATCGTGCGTGCAACTGTCTTGTAGTGCTAGGGCAACCTCTACGATGGCATTGCCTTTGCGGCAATGTGTCCCGCGCTGGGGCCATGGATGACCAGAGTGATAACCATGATAAAGATAGGCTCGCTTAAACGTCTGGCGCGCAAAACTGCGAGGCCAGCGCGTTGAGCCTTGTGTCTGCGTTCCTCGACTGAACTGAAGCTATAAGGCATGGACCACTGAACCTCCTGGACATGACGTCAGCCAACTCTGCGCGGCAGCCTTCGGCCCCCAAAGCATCGGCCGCCTCTGCGAAATCAGCCCTTCTCTGAGAAGCTTTCTCGGCAGACGGCTTGACATTATACTGCGACGCTTCGAGGCGCATTTCAGACTCGCACCGCAGATACACCCAACATCAAATGCGAGTGCCAAGCTCTTTTCCGCCAGATTGGCGCGCTGATCTGGCAGCAGACTTCCCTGCTATCTAAAGCTGGGCGTGTTGCCGTGCAACGGCGCGCCCCATGCTCCGCGCCGTCATAACAGCACCGCAATGAGGACACGGATATAATCGAGCGGGGTCGCTTCCATTGATGCGCGCCGGGCTTCGTCGCCCAAGCCGCGCGCGCACGTCGCGCAGCTCTTCGCGCCATCTATGCATTCGCTAATGCCGTGTTCAACTGCATGGCAACCTTTCTAGACTGGCACATGGCGCTTCCCAAGCTTCTGCGCCGTCTCGCGGCATTTGCACCCGCCAGCTTCAATCGCGTTTGGGCCTTGAGTCTCTACGAATCTGGCCGTCCACTTGAGGTCCTCGAGCATGCGTTGGCCCGTCGAGCCTTCTCTTTCCGCTATCGCATATAACGTCCACTCCACGGGCATTGGGGCATCTTTCAAGAGCTTCGGGCGGTGCCTGATTCTTCTAGCGCGCGTGCGCGGTGAGCTGATAAAGCTCTCGCCTTCGGAAACACCTTGTCGCAAAGTCGGTGTCTTATGCCGTGGTCGATCAGATCCTCGGCCTGCGGCTGCGCGGACGAAGGCATGCGTCTGCCGGCAAGCGCTGCGGCGGTCGCTCCGGCCAACGTTGGCAACGCATGCCAACTGAAGAAAGGCGGCTGAAAGAACATGCCGTGGCA